ACACACCGTGGCTAACACACACACACCGTGACTAACACACACACACACACCGTGGCTAACACAGGGGCACACACCGTGGCTAACACACACACACACACCGTGCCTAACACACACATCGTGTCTAACACACACACACACCGTGGCTAACACACACACCGTGTCTAACACACACACACACACCGTGGCTAACACACACACACCGTGGCTAACACACACACACACGCACACCATGCCTAACACACACACGCCGTGGCTAACGCACATACACACACACACCGCCCGTGAAGCGAGCCTTGGTAGCCGTGATGATTTTCCATTCTCACACCGCCGCTCTCATTCCTATGGCCGCACTCAGACAGAGCTCATCGCTCTGTCTGAGAGTGACATCACACGCTGTCATAAGTTTTTATTTTTATTACTACCAAGATCTGGGCAAATCTTCCGTCGGTCGGTCGGTCGGACGATCGGGAGGTCGATGCGTTCCGGTTTTCTCTCTCCCCTCGAGTTCCTAACAGCGGCGCAACTTCCTTCCGGCTTCTCGTCCACGGGCGGTTTCATCTCTACCGGAGTCACCGCCCCACTCCCCCACTCGACCCCCCACGTTACAGACAGACGAGGCGGTGCTCATGGGGTTTGGCGTTTGTGCGAGCATCGGTTGGCTAAGCGTCACTAAATTATGAATCAACTGTCCGGCTTGCGATCGATCGGCCGAGGGGGGAGCCGTCCGGCAGCGGCGTGCCACGGTGGCTGTGAGATGTTAACTACCTCGCCTGGTATGCAGGAGGTCGTGGGTTCGATGCTGACACAGACGCTTGTGTATTTGTCGTCTGCAGGTTTCTCCCTGTGGTTGCGTGGATTATTTATATGGGTCCTCCGGTTTTTCCCTACACATCTAGAAACATGCATTGAGGTTATTTAGATTATTTAGCTGCTATAAATGTCCAAATGATGGGCCAATTTGTTAAGCTGTCATTTGTGGCCAGGTTACTTTGGAAAAAATAAGTTGAAACCCCAGTGGGTTTTGCCTGGTAGGGCAGGGATGATCTTGATTTTAAGCTTTCGTGACTGCAGGAATCCATACTAAAGCCACGTGGTGGGTAGAAGGATGGGAATGGTTTCGTGTTTTATTTGTTTGTGTTTGGGTGATTTGTTTACCTTCCATGTACTTTGCACTCCTATCAAGTTTGTGTTGTTGTTTGTTGTTGTGACGTTCTTACCCGGTGCCCCTACTGGAGACATCTGTGTACAAGAGCTTCGCAGCTCATCGGATTCCTCGCGCAGTTATATATATGGAAGCAATATTCTCATCCCGATGACCGAAATCGTTTGTTGCCGGGTTCGGCTTCGGCGCCAGTGCGGAGCCGCGGGCAACATCAGCGGTGGCGGCAGAGAGCCGGAGACTTCGCAAGCCGCCAACGCCGCCAACGCCGCCGCCGCCACCGCTGCCAATTGAGTAATTTGGCGGCGTTCAGCGTTGGGGATGTGGTTTGGCCAACGCTGGTCACTTGAGACGTTCACAGAAGCGAATCGTCGATTCTGTGAACTCACTCTCACACTCATTCTCACACACTCACTCACACTCATTCTCACACTCTCATTCTCACACACTCACTCACTCACTCTCATTCTCACACACTCACTCACTCTCATTCTCACACACTCACTCACTCACTCTCACACTCATTCTCACTCACTCACTCTCATTCTCACACACTCACTCACTCACTCTCACACTCATTCTCACACACTCATTCTCACACACTCATTCTCACACAGTCACTCTCATTCTCCCACACTCACTCTCATTCTCACACACTCACTCTCATTCTCACACACTCACTCTCATTCTCACACACTCACTCTCATTCTCACACACTCACTCACACTCATTCTCACACACTCACTCACACTCATTCTCACACACTCACTCACTCTCACACTCATTCTCACACACTTACTCACTCACACAAATTCTCACTTACTCACTCACTCTCATTCTCACACACTCACTCACTAACTCTCACACTCATTCTCACACACTCACTCACTCTCATTCTCACACACAATCACTCACACACTCATTCTCACACACTCACTCACTCTCACTCACTCACACACTCACTCACGCAGAAGCGAATCGTCAATTCTGAGAACTGCCGTGGAACCCGGAGGAAAACCCACACAGAGCAGGGCGAGAGAGAGAACAGACAGACTCTACTCACACACTCACTCTCACACTCATTCACACTCACTCACTCATACACTCACTCATTCTCACACTCACTCACTCATACACTCACTCATTCTCACACTCACTCACTCATTCTCACTCACTCACTCACACACTCACTCACTCACACGCTCACTCTCATTCTCACTCACTCACTCACACACTCACTCATTCTCACTCACACACTCACTCACTCTCATTCTCACACACTCACTCACTCTCATTCTCACACACTCACTCACTCACGCTCACACTCACTCACTCATTCTCACTCACACACTCACTCACTCATTCTCACTCACACACTCACTCACTCTCACTCACGCACTCACTCACTCACTCTCACACTCACTCACTCTCATTCTCACACACTCACTTACACACTCACTCATTCTCACACTCACTCACTCATTCTCACTCACACACTCACTCACTCATACACTCACTCACTCTCACACACTCACTTTCACTCACTCACACACTCACTCAATCACACCCTGTCTCACTCACTCAAACACTCACTCGCACACTCATTCACTCTACAAAACAGTGAGAGAGAGAACAGACAGACTCTACTCACTCACTCACACTCATTCACACTCACTCACTCATACACTCACTCACTCTCTCACACACTCACTTTCACTCACTCACTCAATCACACCCTGTCTCACTCACTCAAACACTCACTCGCACACTCATTCACTCTACAAAACAGTGAGAGAGAGAACAGACAGACTCTACTCACTCACTCTCACACTCATTCACACTCATTCACTCATACACTCATACACTCACTCACTCTCACACTCTCACTTTCACTCACTCACACACTCACACACTCACACCCTGTCTCACTCACTCACTCGCACACTCATTCACACTCACTCACTCTCACACTTTCACACTCTCACACACTCACTCACTCACTCTCACACTCATTCACTCTACAAAACAGTGAGAGAGAGACAGAGAGAGCCGACAAGCTCCACGGTGACCCCGGGATGGTGAATCCAAGCACCCCCCCCCACCCCGGCTACGAGGCGCCCAGCGCCCAGCGCCCAGCGCCCAGCGCCCAGCGCCCAGCGCCCAGCGCCCAGCGCCCAGCGCCCAGCGCCCAGCGCCCAGCGCCCAGCGCCCAGCGCCCAGCGCCCAGCGCCCAGCGCCCAGCGCCCAGCGCCCAGCGCCCAGCGCCCAGCGCCCAGCGCCCAGCGCCCAGCGCCCAGCGCCCAGCGCCCAGCGCCCAGCGCCCAGCGCCCAGCGCCCAGCGCCCAGCGCCCAGCGCCCAGCGCCCAGCGCCCAGCGCCCAGCGCCCAGCGCCCAGCGCCCAGCGCCCAGCGCCCAGCGCCCAGCGCCCAGCGCCCAGCGCCCAGCGCCCAGCGCCCAGCGCCCAGCGCCCAGCGCCCAGCGCCCAGCGCCCAGCGCCCACCACCCGGCCTCACCCGCAGCTTCGCCTTGGAGCAGACGGGAAGGCCGTCACGACATCCCCTGTGCACCTTCACGCTGCAGCCTGGGGTCACAGGGGGTCAGGGGTCACAGGGGGTCAGGGGTCACAGGGGGTCAGGTGTCACAGGGGGTCAGGGGTCACAGGGGGCATAGGGGGTCAGGGGTCACAGGGGGTCACAGGGGGCCAGGGGTCACAGGGGGTCACAGGGGGCCAGGGGTCACAGGGGGTCAGGGGTCACAGGGCGGGAGCGTCGCCACACGGCCGCAACGACCGACGGCTGTGGTTGTCTCGTGCCCACCCCCACCCTACCCCCCCACCCTACCCCCACCCTACCGCCCTGGCAGGGCCATGCCGCTTGGATGCCGGTCCCCTCTCTCAGACACTCCTCCTCCTCCCCCTCCTCCTCCTCCCCCTCCTCCTCCTTCCCCTCCTCCTCCTCCACCTCCTCCTCCTCCCCCCCCTCCTCCTCCTCCTCCCCCTCCTCCTCCTCCTCCCCCTCCTCCTCCCCCCCCTCCTCCTCCCGCGCTCCGCCAGAGGCTGCGGTGGCGGTTCAATTTAAACGGCTCCCCCGCTCACTGCGTTTGCCGTCTCCACCGACCCCTCGCCGGCGTCTCGCCGGGACCTCACCGGGACCTCGCCGGGACCTCGCCGGGACCTCGCCGGGACCTCACTGGCGTCTCGCTGGGACCTCACCGGGACCTCACTGGCGTCTCGCCGACCCCTCAACGGCGTCTCACTGGCATCTCACCGCACCTTCACCGGCTACTCACCGGCCCGCCATGACAAACCACGGGGGACAGAAAATCAATTCTGCCACGGCTTTTACCGACGGCGATGACGCTGACGATGAGCGATTGCTTTGGTAAACTCGATGTACCGCTCCTCACCGCCACCACCACCACCACCACCACGGAGGAGTAAGAGTGGTGGCACAGTGGTTAGCGCACTGTGCGTTGTTTGATGAAACTATAAAGTATTGTTGTTGGACCAGGTAAGGTCCCACTGAACTACTACAGAGCTCTTTATCAGCAGTGACCTGGCACATCACAAATGAGAGCTCAACGAAGTGAACCTCTCATCGTCATCGTCATCATCATCGTCATCATCACGGAGAAATGCATAGCAGCAGTCAACTTCTCTAAACGCGTGGTGACGTCGATTCTAAATGTGGAGGGGAAAAACCGGAGGACCCGGATAAAAATCCACGCGACCACGGGGAGAGAGACAAACAAACTCCAACATATACAGCAGCAGCAGCAGGCGTCAGGGTCGGGATCCAACCCAAGACCTCCTGTGTACCAGGCGAGGTAGTTAACAACTCCTCACGTCGTGCCAAACAGGCGCTCGCTGGCCGCACGGATTCACGGAGTTCGTCGCAGCAGCAGTAGGGGCAGCAGCAGGGGCAGCAGCAGTAGGGGCAGCAGCAGGGGCAGCAGCAGGGGCAGCAGCAGCAGCAGGAGCAGCAGCAGCAGGGGCAGCAGCAGCAGGGGCAGCAGCAGCAGCAGGGGCAGCAGCAGCAGGGGCAGCAGCAGCAGCAGGGGCAGCAGCAGCAGGGGCAGCAGCAGCAGGAGCAGCAGCAGGGGCAGCAGCAGCAGGGGCAGCAGCAGCAGAGGCAGCAGGAGCAGCAGCAGGGGCAGCAGCAGGGGCAGCAGTAGGGGCAGTAGCAGCAGCAGGGGCAGCAGCAGCAGGGGCAGCAGCAGCAGTAGGGGCAGCAGGAGCAGCAGGAGCAGCAGCAGCAGGGGCAGCAGCAGGAGAAGCAGCAGGAGAAGCAGCAGGGGCAGCAGCAGGGGCAGCAGCAGTCGGGGCAGCAGCAGGGGCAGCATCAGTAGGATCAGCAGCGTTATTGTTGTTTGTGTTGTAGTGGTTGGCTAGGGAGCTGACCGCCACCCCAAACTGCAGCTCCCCGGGATAACCTCTTGACTGATGAAATTAAGCACGAGGTTTTTACCCTTTCTGGCAATAATCAAACGTGAGTTGTGTTCAGATGAAACCTTTTGGCAAGGCAATAAGTCTGCATTAACCACACATACATGTAGCAAAACATGCACACAAACACGCTCTGATGATAATAATAATAACGTTGTTGTGAATTGTCTTTGAAACCGATTGGCCTACACCAAAGGCCTTCTTCAAGGCCACGTCCAATCATTTTGAAAGACAATGCATATCATCATCATCATTATTATTAAAGATGCCACATGTATATGTGGTGAATGCAGACTTGATGCCTTGCAATAGGTGTATCATGGATGTGGGTG